AGTGCGTCAGCGAAGCCCCTAGACTCCGAGGCGAGCTCTTTTCACAGGAACGAGGCGCCTCGTGCCGAAAGACGCGCGCTCGCTGCTCTTAGCAAAGCTTAAAAAACACCAGGGAGGTCGTTTGCCTCGCAGCTCCGCCATCTGCTGTGTGGACTGAGTCAGCGTGAGGTAAATTCGCAGCCACGCGCTCCCGCTCGGAGGCTGTGTGCGTTCTGCTCCTCTGACAGCACGAGCGCGCGCGGCGCCTCCTCGTGGGGAGGAGGCTGCGTGGCCGCGGGGCGGAGGAGTTGGGGCCCTGGGGCCCTCCAGGTTCACGCTCCGGGCCGCCCTCCGCGGGCACCCAGAGCGACGGCCCAGCCTCCCCGCGGACTCAGTCCTCTCGGTTTTCGAAGGCGCGCTTCCACAGAAAGGGAGGAAGGAAGGGGTGAGGGGAGCGCGCCACCCTTGGCGTCCTCCGCCCGCTTCCCGCCCTTGGCCACCCGCGTGCCATCTTGCTGGTCGGTCGGTCGGTCGGTCCCGCGCAGGCCGTCCATCCATCGAGTACTGCTGCAGGGCCCTGGAGGCCTAAGCCCACCTGGTGCTGCAGGCAGATGCCGTCCCGCGGCTGCCAGTGCGACGGGACCCGGGCTCTACCTCAATGGCTCGCGCTAAGCGAGAAGCCCAGGCCTCAGGTCTGAGTGAGGCCTGGTGTGAGCCCTCAGCCTGGGCCTCGACGTGCAGGGCGCAGGGCCAGGCCTTCGGGGTGTCAGCCTGCTGCAAAGCCAGGCCTCTGCACTCAATAGCCTTCAGGACCCCTCACGGGAGGGGGTTGTTTAGTTTGTTAGTTTTTAAGTTATCAGCGGGGAACTTACCCATTTATTTCACAAATCATAATGTTCCTGATTTTTAAAAGTGAAATAACGGGAGCTGTTAGCAATTAGGAACTTAGCGCCCATGGAGAACTTAAGATTCTGATATCCGGAAGTTATATTGTCTTGCGAATCCAACTGTTAACAGTTCTTTTGGGTCTCACCTTTTTGGGGGTGATATTATTTATCCTTTCAGCCCTGAAGTTTTGAAGGATTTTCGGTTTAGAATAAAGGTTAGGAACGAAGCGTTATTAAATGGAGGCTGTATACATTCTTTAAAAAGTTTAAAACAAGTGATAGACAATGTATGTTCATAAGCAATTTTATATCAATATTCAGCTTGGTCTCAAGTGCAGCACGTTGTTAGCATGTGTCTGATTAGTCAGTCACAGGCATTTTGGACATGGCATAGGAAAAAAAAGTGGAACCTATGATCCGATGTTAAAATAAGCGTGGTGTCTAGGTTTCCTCGAAAGAAACAGCAGCAATAGATAAGCTTAGGTATGAGGCTCCTTCAACTCAAATTTTAAAATATCTAAGTTAGTATGGCAGCAACTGTGTATTTAAATCTTTGTGAATTACTAAAGTCATTGAAGTTAGATTTCCTTTTCCCAGATCAACAGGATGTGAGTGTCTCTGAGAAGACAGACAAGACAGGCAATGGTTTGGCCATTGCATTACACTTAGTTTAGATCAACGGTTTTGAAAGTTGCATGCCTTTTTGTTTTCCCTCTTTGGCTTGTGTATTAGGTTATCACACTTAGAAACATATTCCCTTGAAAGAAACCCCCACTGCTTTCACAATGAAGTAAACTTGATGGTGCACAAGTCACTGGTCTCATCTGAGCTGATTATGTCGACCTTGCCTGTGTTTTACACCCACAGTATGGTTTGCAGTGGTGTTCAAGGCATGGCGTGAAACGTTTGATTTGAATAGTTCCATTAATTCAATGGGGGGGGGCATAGCTTAATAGACCTTCTACTGATATCTCCCCTTCTTACTATGCTAACTCTGAAATAAATATATAATCTAGTATCAGGAACATGGCATTTAAAAGACCCTTGCTGGTAATATTTAATTTAATAAATGTACTAACTGTGACATTATTAGTACAATGAAGCTGTACCACAAGCTGATTCTTCCCGGTTGTTTGACCTACTGCTTGTCACTAGAATCCTTATAAACACAGCCTGCAATTTCTCCTTCGATTTTGTTTTAAAATGGTTTTAAACTTCAAGTCTTTAAAAGTGTGTGCATGATAGAACTCTCATTGTGTATACAGAGAAGCATCTGTCCTTTGTATTATGGTCCACTTTTTTATGAGGAGGCTGATGGAAATTAGGATGGAAAAGCATCTCTAAAGAGGTGCTTCTGATTGTTGTAGCCAGTATAGTTAATGTCATTAGGAAAACAAAAAAACAGGATTAAGTTTCAAGGTAACAGTTGGATCTCTACTTTGGTGGTTAGATACTAAATTTCAAGAAATGATAAATTTATTAAAATTTATGGCTGGAAAATAAAACAAATCTGCTTATATCAGACTTATTATTTATATTAGGTTAATTTAGATTTGTGTTTAGTATACTTATTCTGCTAGAGAAAGTGTATTATATGGGTGGAAGAGCTATTTCAGTTCAATCTTATCATTCAGGTGTGTAAAAAGGAAAAAAGCCAACCGTGTTGTTCTAAAACTACAGGACCTTCTAACACAATCTGAACTTTCAGGATGTATTTGTCATTTATTTTGCCATTCCTACCACGAAAGAAAGGCATTTTCAATCTTAGAAAATTTCAGAAGCAATTTTTTGGTTCTCAGTTAATTCAGTTTCATCTTAAAAGTTCAAATTTAGCAAAGCACATGTTCCCTTGTTCATGCCAAGTGTGATAAAAACTAGTCGAAAAATAAAACCATTGCAAACAAGTAGAACACTGCACTCCACTGCACACTGTATAGGCCACATCGTTTGTGGGCACATGTAAATCTGCCTTTGAAAGTTTGTAGAAAACCCCATTATCTCAGATAGATTCAAGTTGTGCTTTTTAAATAGCTTCTTTCACTATGATAAGCACATGCATGAACATTCAGACATTTGCAATCTCCTATCAACAAAAGTTATTCTTTCTAGACTTCCAGAAGAGCTTGCTATGCACAGAAGATAACTATTTTCTTGATTGTAACTACAGTATGAATTAGTCACCTGTCCCTCTTTGTAGTGCAGCCAGTTACAGGCTACCTCTTGGAATTCTAAATTTAATCTCTCTGTTTATAATATATATATATATATATATATATATATATATGGTAACTTAATATTTGTGAACTTCAATGAGTAAAGTACACATGGACTTTATGTAGATTAAATTTAGGCCACCTATAATTAGCACAATTGTTTTGGAGAATATTCAGTTATCATATATATATTTATGTTATTTTAAATGACTTGCTTGATTGGGAATTTGTGGAAGACAAAGTAGTATTTCTAATTAAAGTGTTTCCAAAGTGGCTAGTGTTTTTATAACTTCTTGTCATTTTGAATAAAAAATTATGTTTGGATATAGTTTACCAAATAATAACAATGTTTACTACTCAGAAGCTTTCTTTTGAGAAGACACACTATAATGAGAATTTATCCTTTCGTGGTTTACTTAACATGAAATACACTGTTTTAGTCAGATGAAATCTTTTTCTACCTCTGTCTTAATTTACTATTTCTTAAAATGACTATATTGTTAATAATTGTTACAGCTCATTCACCTTTGGCATTCATTCTCTTAATTAATGCTTACATTCTGCTTTGTTCCTGTGGAGAAAGTCAAAGAAACATACTGACTTCTTCCTCAACAAATGTGTCCCTCCCTCCTCCATCTCTGCTCTCTCTCTCTGACACTCATTCTGCCCTTGTTGCAGCTCTTGCCAACAACTCTTTTTGGAACCTACTCCTTTTTTTTTTTTCTTTTGCTACCACCCTCAACCTGAATCTTTATAAACTCTATCCTGACTCATCAGTTTGCTTATTTAAGGTTAGAACTTTTACACTTTCCCCCAAAGAAATTTTAAAGTATGGGGGACAAATATTAGATGCTTTGTGTCCTTTTATTTAATCCTTCCTATCCTTAAAAATTATGCTTTTTTTCCTCTACATTCTTGTATATTCATTTTATTTGTATATTCACTTTTCTATGATCTGGTTTCTTTTTATATTTGTGAAAGAACTGTCTAATATTTTTATCTATTACTGGTTTGGGTTCTTTTCATATAGAGCTTCCTTAGCTATGTGCGCCACTGCATTTATCCCTGATCTCTTTTGTGTTTAAGATCCATCTGTCAATGCTGTCTTTGATCTTTTTCAATTCAGCTTCCTCATTTGTGTGGACACTACTACACTCTTTCTTATGTGTTCACCATGGCACTTGCAATTAAAGGCAATGGCCTTGTTACCATATAGTCTTATTCTTTTAGCTGTTTTAAGTCATAATTGGCCCTTTTGTGACTTGATATCATAGATTTTGTAACTCCTTTTTTTTTTTTTTGCTAGCTTTTCTTTTCTGGCTTTCTTTGCTCTGCTTGCTTGCCCGTTCATCCATTCATTTAAAAAAAAAGTTTCTAAAAAGTATGCTTTTCTGTGTGTCTGGCCTCATATATGTCTGTCCTGAGTTATGTGGAAGCATAGTTGTGAAAAAGACTATCTGGCCGTGCTCTTCTTGTCTTATTTAAACAGTCCTTGTTATTTATTTTACAGCTATGCTTAGGACACTGGGTGGTAGTGGACCCCAGAGGCTTGTAGGAAAGGGCCATTCAAAATCTTACACAGAATTCTTTAACTCCCATCCTCAATGTTCTTCCTTGGTTTCTAAGTGATAAAAAATGCCGACTTTCATTTTTAAAGTGTTATTCTTCATGTACTTCTTCAACTCATTGTCTTTACCTACTTGATGACTTCTCTTTTGGTCTGATATTTTAATTTATAGTCTACATGTTTCTTATTTGGCCTCCTTTGAGACTTATGATATAAATGCAATGTTCTCTTTATTCTTAACTCAAGCTTAACATGATGATGAGTAAAATGAATTTTTTAAAAGTTAATTTTTCTTTGTGTTAATTTAACCCCTCTAAGGCAACGATCTGAAGTATATGTGCCATCCAAAAGGAAGAAATTTTATGACTATACAATTATATATACTATATGTATCTTTCAAAACAAGCACACTATTATTAGTACTTTTTCAATATAGTCTTAAAAAGGTGTGTGTGTATGCATATGCATGCATGCATGCATTAGCATGATAACAAAAAAATCAAAAGCAAATGAAGATTTTGGTATTACATGCATTTTTATTTTGCCTTAGAAACTATGCCCTCCTACCAGAGCCTACAGTACCTTTTAACAATCAACAATCCCTTCTTTGTGTAAATAATTACACCCCAAATTAGGATAAGAAGCCTTTAAATTTATTATTACTTAGTTTGCACACACTTTAATCTCCATTTGAGTAAGAAGTTGATGAAAACTTAACCATGTTAAAGAAATATTCATATATTATAACTGATAATTTATAGTTGATGTCATGGAAATTTAAAATGTAAGTTACTCACATTATATTGGTTTCAAAACCAATTTGAAATTTGTCTCTTAGTGGGTTGTAGAAACAGTGAACACAAAGCAAGACATCCTATTGTTATTGTTTTGAGATAGTGTCTCACTATGTAGCACCCGCTGGCCTGGCATTCACTCTGTAGATCAGGCTGCCTACCTTTCCTTCCCAAGTTTTTAGGGTTGGAGGTGTGCACCACTATGCCTGGC